CGCCGCGCCGCGCCACGCGCTGCCCGGGCCACAGCCTGGCCCTGCCACGGGCGACGTCCTGCAGCATATCATGGCCATCTCCGACCAGAACCTGGACGAGGCGCAGGCCAGGTGCTGCGTGGGCTCGGGAGGGTGTCGCGGGCGACTGGGGCGGGGGCCAGGCCGAAGTGAGGGGCTAGGCCGAGAGGAGCGGCTGGTAGATGAGGGCTTGGGGGGAATCTGGGGCGGGGAAAGTGGAGGGAGCCAAAGAGGGTTCTGAGGGCGAAGGGATTCCTGGGTTAAAATGGAAGGGTTAGGGTTAGCTTATGGGGCCAAGCAATGGGCTTAAAGGCTTTTAGGAGTTTAGACGGAGGTGAGATTGGAAAGAGGATTTGCTTGTAGAATTGAAGGCGGCTCCTGGGGCGACAGTGGTGCGCTTAAGGAGCGTTTATGGATTGGAAGGTTTATGGTGAAAGATGGTTTATGGAATGTAAAGGGGTAAGAGGAGTGTTAGGAGGTTGTAAGGGCTGAGATTTGGGTGCAGGCTGGATTTTTGAAGGATGAACGACTGAATGGTTAATGGGATTTATGAAGGTGGGAAGTTTTGAGGGGAGATTTCTATGAAGAGAGAGCACTGGGGAAAGGGGCTCGGGAATGTCTCCACTGAAGAGTTGAGATGTGGTGACTTGGTGTGGGGACCATCAGGAACTTTCTATTTTTTAATTAATTAATTCAGCAAGTATTTATTAACACCTTCTCTGTGTTGGGCACTGAGCTGGGTGCTGACATAGTCCCTGCTCTCAAGCTTGTGGTTTGGGGGAGAGAAAGTAAGAAAAAAATAGCTCTAAATTGTGATAAATGCTACAAGGAAAGGGACCGTGGTCAGGAAGAGCTACGGGAAGCCAGGTGGAGAAGAGCAGGCATGGAGTGGGCACAGCACCTCCCAAGGCCCTGAGGTGGGAGAGCAAAATAAAGCTAGAACTAGAGTTGGGAATTCTGAGTTGAGTTTGGAAAGTGGCTGGAACTGGATCACCTGGGCCCACAGGTCCAGAAAGAAGTTTGATTTTATTTGAGTTGCAGTGGAAAAATTGAAGAGGTTTTAAGACGACTTGTTCCCCTTAGGAGCCCTGGTAGCGCAGTGGTTAAGAGCTACGGCTGCTAGCCAAAACAGCAGCAGTTCTGAATCTACCTGCCGCTGCTTGGAAGCGCTATGGGGCAGTTCTACTCTGTCCTGTACTGTCGCTGTGAGTTGGAATCGACTAGACAGCAATGGTTTTTTTTTTTTTGGTGTTGTTGTTCCTCTTAGCCTCCACCCACCACTTGTCAGCCAGCCACCCTCCAGGAAGGGCAGAATCTGTGTCACAAGTCACCTCGTCATGCTTGGAGTCTGCTCGAATTATTAGAAGGCAGGAAAGGACTAAAGTCCTTTTGGAGGGTGAGGCCTTATTTTACTGAGCCTGTTTTAGGGTGGGGATGGTCCCTCGGGGTAGGACCAGGGCATCTGGTGGTATGGACTGTGCAGTCACTAGAGGACATCAAAGAGGGGTTACAAAGCCAGGTAAGCAACAGGCCCAAGGAGGAGAAGGCAAAGTAAAAAGTGGATAAGGAATGCATTTGTTCTTCAAACTTTCTTTCCTTGGCTTCTTGTAGAATGTTGACTCTTTTTACAGTTTCATAGCCTCTACCTGGGAAGCTAGGGACCCTGCACCCACCACCACACTGTTCTCATTCTACTTTTTGGAGCATTGTGCTAGATGCTTGGGAAACCAAGATGGCTAGTAGTAGCATCAGAACCATCTAACTTAAGGGGGGATAATGACCATTTTCAGCCCAAAGCTGATTCCTATGAGTGGAGGTCAGACATACCTCCACTTTCCAACCTTTTTGCCAATTCTGACACCAGCTGTCCTCCCCACGGCACTCTCTGCTTCTCTGCTGGGTTTCATAATTCATTGCAATGGTCACACAGAACTCACAGACCATACTTCCAGTTAAGTGGTTTATTAAGGAAGTAAGAGGGTACAACTCGGGATCAGAATCAGGAAACAAGTAGACAAAGTATGGAAGACTCTCCTGAAGTGGAGAGCATAGCTCTCGTTTCTTCAGTGCAGGACAGCTCTCTCAGCTTCTCTTTGGCCATGCAAGCAAGCAGGCCCTTCTCTCTGCCATGCATGCCCCCTCAGCCTTCCGGGCCTCCTCTGGGCCCCCTCAGGACAGGCCTCCTCTTGGCCCCCTCAGGACAGACCTCTCTGCCTTTGACCTTCCTGCCATCAGCATCTCCACTGCTAACTGACTCAGCTCATAGCCAGCGTAGCAGTTTTGTTCAGCTCTTAACTTAGCTGCACTTCTAGCAGCAGGTTCTGCCCTCACCACCAACTTTGCCACAGAGCCTGTCATGAATTGTGTTCCTCCAAAACTGTGGGTCAGCTTGGCTAGGCCATGATTCCCAGTATTGTGTGATTGTCCACCATCTTGTCATCTAATGTGATTTTCCTATGTGTTGTAAATCCTACCTCTCTGATGTTAATGAGGCAGGATTAGATGCAGTTATGTTAATGAAGCAGGATTCAGTCTGCAGGATTAGGTTGTGTCTTAAGTCAATCTCTTTTGAGATATAAAAGAAGCAAACAGAGAGATGAGGACCTCATTACCAACAAGCAACAAGAGGCAGGAGCGCACGCATCGTTTGGACCCGGGGTCCCTGTGCCAAGAAGCTCCTAGAAGACTGATGACAAGGACCTTCCTCCAGAGCTGACAAAGAAAGAAAGCCTTCCTCTGGAGCTGGCACCCTGAATTTGAACTTCTGACCTCCTAAACTGTGAGAGAATAAATCTCTGTTTGTTAAAGCCATCCACTTGAGAAGTAGAGAGTGTATGTGTGAGACTAATATGTCAATAGTTACCATATTAGAGGAGTGTGCTGCGTAGAGGTCAGACCTAACACAAAAGAGGGTATGCCAACCCTATCTAACTGGGCCAGGGCAGGGTGCCCCTCTGTGATGCTCAGTCTGTTGACCTGTTTTTCTATTAGACTAATCTTAGAGCAGGACTTGGTGCACTATCCCTTTGTATTCCCTGGGCCACATACAATGCCTGGCACCAAGTACTCAGGAAAGTTTTGTGGAACTGAGGAGACTGTGGAAGGATTCATAGCAGCTAAGGGAGGGGCAAGATGAACCCTTCACACCCAGGAACCTGCCTCACCACACAAAGGCAGAGCTCTTCGCGTGTTTGCAGGGCAATAGGTTTTTTTTTTTTATGGCCTTTCTGGCCGTGGTCTTGTAACTCCTACAAAATGCTTGAGTGGGACTAGCAAATAAGGTATGTAAAACTCTTTCTGGGATTGGCTGGGATATGGATATAAGGTGGGCCTGTGGCCCATCAAGGGGATCAATCAGTTTTGCCATCCCAGTAGGCTTAAAAAGAGCCAATCCCGTAGGTTTAGAGGGGACCTCACTACCATCAAGAAGAAGAACTGGGAGCAGAACACATCCTTTGGACCCAGGGTCCCTGCACTGAGAACCTCCTAGACCCAAGAGACACCTGTAACACTGGAGATGGCAGTGGCACAAGGCCGACAGATGGCTGCAGAGGGCTTATAGACCCACAGAGCAAGAGAGCTGAGTGCCTTCAGGCAGGAGGCTTCCTGGTGGAGTGGGGTGCCTCTAGGCACTTACCAGCAGAGCTAGAGAGCCGTAACACTTGTCCAACAGGCCAGAGGCCAGGCCCAAGCAGGGCCTAGCAGCAGATGCCTGCCTGGGGGCAGAGCCGAGAAGCTGTCTTGATTGAAGAACTGTATCCTGAGTTGTTCCTGTTACTTCAAGTTGGTCGTGATTCTGAATTGTATAACCTGTTACTTCCCTAATAAACCCCATAATCGTGAATATGATCTGTGAGTTATGTGTGGCCACTGCAATGAATTGTTGAACCCAGCAGAGAAGTAGAGAGTGCCATGGGAGGGACAACTGGTATTGGAGAGTGGAGGTACGTCTGACCTCCACCTCGTAGGGATCAGCTTTGGGCTGCTGGTTTTTCTTTCTCCTCCCCTGCATGAATTTAGACAGGTTCTGATGCTGCTACTACTATTACATGTGTGGAGTCACATGTGTTCCTTTGGTCCATGGAGTCATGCAGTCTCTTGAGCTTCTAGTCTCAACTAATAGGCTTTAGAATAGAATGTAGTCAGTCACCCCTTCCTTACATCCCCAAAAACAGCTCTTTTTGTTTTAAGGCTAAGAAATTTCATGGGTGAATTATACATTCTTGATAATCTTTTTTGTTTGTTTATTGTTGTAGTTTAAGTGAAAGTTTACATTTCAAGTTAGTCTCTTATACAAAAATTTATACATAATTGTTATGTGATCCTAATTGCTCTCGCTATACTGTGACAGCACACTGCTCGTTTCCACCCCTGATTTCACATGTCCATTCAACCAGCTCCTGACCCTCTCTGCCTTCTCATCTCACCTCCGGACAGAAGCTGCCCATTTAGTCTCATGTAGCTACTTGAGCTAAGAAGCACACTCTTCACGAGTATCATTTTATGTCCCGCAGTCCAGTCCAATCCCTGTCTGAAGAGTTGGCCTCAGAAATTGTTTTAGTTCTGGGCTGATAAAGAATCCGGGGGCGATGCTTTCCGGTGTTTCTTCAGTCTCCATGTTTGATAATCTTAACATATCTGTTAGGTACCTGGCTTCTGGTTCCTGACTTCTTTCTGAGGTAGGAAGACCTCTGGGGCTTTTATTTTGAGGGTTTGGAAACCATAAATCTCCCCCACTTCTTTAGATCTAGCCTTTAGATGAACTCAAGGCCCTAAAATTCTACCAACTCCTTACAACAGAGTCTTCAGTCCACTCTGCAGAAAATACAGCATGGGTGGGCCTTTTCCTTATAGTAAGCTCTACAGCCTGGTAGATTATCAGCCCAGGAGGGGAAAAAGATTGTCACTCCTGATCAGTTGAATGTGGAAGGGTCTTGCAGCTCTGCCCCCTCACAACACACCTGCCATCCCCTCATAGCCCCTGGAGTTTAGCTCAACTGTCCAGCAAGAAATAATTTTTCATCTCAAATATGAGGCCCTGTTACCTGTTGCATCACCATAAGTGAGTTTAAAAAAGGAAAACATACCTATTC